TGTATGTATGTATGTATGTATGTATGTATGTATGTATGTATGTATGTATGTATGTATGTATGTATGTATGTATGTATGTATGTATGTATGTATATTTTAGGATACATTCGAAAAATGTTAAGATGGATTTCGTGCGCTGTTCACGTCAAATAACACTTTTATCTTTATAGGTTGGATCTCGGCACACTCGACAATAACGAGTTTCACCGTCCGGCCCTCTTATCATAGTTACAAGATCCTTCTGTCATAGCTGCACATCCCAGGATAGATATAGACGAAGTTGGATATGTCATGGCGACGCCCAAAGCACCATCTCAAGTCAGTTAACAGACAAAGCCTTGATTGTTACAGCAAAATCCACAGCAAGCTTAGAAACTTCTAAAAAACTAATTCTTTCATATATTCAGATTCTGTTTTCACATTAAAAGCCTGCGGAATCTTAGATTTGACAAACTGTTGGTATCACATAAATTAGAGAAACATGAAATTCTCACAGACTCTGGGAAAATTATTTGTACTGTTGACTGCCTAGCCACGTTGGCATAAAATGTAACGAAAGGGTAAAGCAAAAACTATTCCGCAGTCAGCTATTTCTGAATTGAAGATTGCATTCATTTGACTTCAAAAATCGTATAAGCATGTTTGTCATATATACAAAAGTACATGGAATGCAAAACCCTAATATAAACCTAAGCTCAAGTTCAGTATTGGAGATTAGCATCCATTGTGATATGCTGTTAATGTGCCGAACTCGCATCGGACACATGCACTTGTTTATCTCCTAAAGGGTGAACTACTTGAATTAAGTGCACGAGGACGAAACACTCTTGAAAAGTCATGATGTGTTTTAAGAGAATGTTTAAAAGATTTTACACGCGTTACATGTATATATCATTTATTATATATTTAACAGACTTTTAGATCTTTCCCTTTTATATTGATCTTGTTCTTTAAACATTTATACAGAAGGATTTATCTTCCAAACATTGTGTGCAGCTTAAGTTTATATTTACTGAACATAACTTTTGTTATCAATGCATAGAAAAATTTTGTACTTCTGTTGGGAGTGTCCAGTTTATGACTGTGAAAGGGGTTGCATACATACATACATACATACATACATACATACATACATACATACATACATACATACATACATACATACATACATACATACATACATACATACATACATACATACATACATACATACATACATACATACATACATACATACATACATACATGCATGCATACGTACATACATACATACATACATACATACATACAGACCAATGAGATTGGTGGAAATCGCAATGAAAGTATAAAGACACATATACAATATAGACATTATACCTTCATCAACTTATCAAGTTCTTTTTCATAGTTCTATGTGTGAGTACCGATGTCAGTAAAAATAATATTCTATGCTATTGTGCTTAAGAACATATATATGGGCGATTCTTTCAAAATTTACCAACTGTATGACTGGAATACCCTTCATACTTGTGAATGATTATACTAACACTTGCCTTGACTTTACAATAAATTTGTTTATTCGCTTGTCTATGTCCTTTCTGTATGAATTCTCACATTAGCCATCTAAAAAGTCTTGCATTAACTTTGATTCAAACCCTACCTCATCTGAGATAAATGAAATTCGTCGTCGTCGTCGTCGTCGTTGTCGTAAAGGACGATGAAGTGGAAGAAGGATTGAAGATGATCTGTAGACTATTGTTCAGTGTGTATCGTTTTCTGCATACTCATTTATTGAGTTTTCCAGTCACAATGTGAACCAATGTGACTGCTTTATTATCCTTTTTATGTAATCCCAATGCTCTACACCGATTCAAAGAAGCTCATGCAGTACAACAATCAACACGAACAAATCAATAACCATTCGGGTTCTGCTGTGTATGAACATTCTAAGGATATGTTTCTTGCATTACCTGTTTTTTGCAATCTCCTTATTAGGCTGTGTGCCAACTTTTGAAAAAAGGTTTGGCTCATTTTTGTTGCATTACCAATGACTGAAACTAAACAGTTCAAGGCCTCTGGTCAAGGTCGCGCAATATACGTTCATGATAAAACCTATCTAATTACTCATTCATAACATTCTGGAATGTTATAGAAAAGAAAGCTGCTTTCATTATCATGCAAGGTATCCATGGAGCATTGTTATTTTATGGCGCACCAATATATTAGCGTAATCATAATTAGCGAGCCACTGTATCAAAGTAATGAAATTGCACACACATGACTATGTCTTAATATTGGATTGAGTTGGGTCTTGCAGTAAATGTGCATATCTCAACTTATTACAACTCATCAGTAAATACCATACTAAAATAAAATCATTATCGCATGGAAAATCAAACTCACAACAAGAACAGAATTTATGCCAAATTCGTACTCGGATTGCACATAAAATGAAATATGTTTAGAATTGGAGGTTCGCAGATTATTTGTTTAATATTATATCGTTGTGACAGTGGGTATATATCAATGAACAAAAATATCTCCTTAACAAAAACACATAGATTCTTGCTTATAATCAATTTCGTCCTTTACGTGTTACAAAGGGATTTCTGGCAGGTGTGCGTGTGATAGAGGAACTTGCGGCATAAGGTGTTAAAAAGACTTATGACCATGAGTCTTTGTGACGGAAATTTGTGTTATTTTGACTTGTTGCATGAAATGAAAATATCGCTCCCATTAATTAATATTTATTTACCGAAAGTCAGTGTATGTTGTCATTAGGCTGATTTAATAAAAGGAGGAGGAGGTCATTACAATTCCGATTATCTGGACTCCGAGCATCCAAAACGCCCTCTTAGCAGAGCTTGACTTTTTCTTATACTAAGAAAGCTCAGTATCCATATTTCTGAGCCCTAAATTTTTGTCCCCATGGAAAGCAGATAGATGGATTTAATTTTATACAAGTATTCAGTTTGTCCCTATTTATCTATTCGATCATCTGAAATTAATCTTTACTACGAAGCTCGGTATGGTAAGGTCACACGTGTCATCTTTTGGTCTGCTTAACTTGTAATGAAAATGGCGCTAAATTTATCTGCTGAAAACTCCCTTTAATGGATGATTGGATAAGAAGTGGAAAGACAATTATGAGGCCATGCTCGGTTTCGGAATTTCTCCAAAGTTTCTCTTGCATTTTTCAGCATCTATGTCACATCGTTTTCTTCTAAACAAATGAAGCACCAGAAAATATTTTAAGAAATTCAACTTCATGTCTATAAACGGGAATGTTCTTGCCTGCGGCAAAGGGCCTGGTTTTGTTCGGCATTTAACCGTAAGCGATAAAACGTAAATGAATCTAGATAACTGTATGTGCTAACACACTGTTACAGCTGCACCTTTGATGCAAGACGGGTTTGAAATTTTAGTGCATTCTCTTTTAATTGTATGCATATCATCGACAAGTTTGCTATCTTATTGCATTTTGGCGTTGAAGCTTTCGGTGTTTGAGTAAGGAACTGAAAATGTTTATTCAAATAACTCCCTCCACACAAGTGTCATTTTTTTCTATACTTGTACAGACTTCGTTACTCTCTTGTGAACTAACTTCCTGCATCCCTTAAGGAAACAGCGGACGGTGTTTGAATGCTTATTCGGATTGTTGTGTCGTTAAAATCCTTCTTTCCAAAACTATACATCGTTTCAATATAGCCAGTTAGTAAATTTTGTTAAGTATTGAGTTCCGCTGAATCTGCAAAAATGTGTCATTTATGTAAAAAGTTCATGCAAATAATCATCTGTCGGAAAACTGAAGTTTCTTCGGACAGAAAATTAAATAAATAAAACAATCTCTCATATTCAGTCTTAAAATTTTAAGTGATGATCGTGTTTGCCAGGGAAAGATAACTGAATTACGAGACAAAGTCACAAAAAATATTTCCCAGAGAGTTTAATATAGATGAAAAACATCGAACATATAGCTCTCAGCATATGCACAGAATAATCTAACATTTTTAGTTACACAAGAAAATATCGGAGCTGTTTCGTTAATACTATTGATTTTTTAATTAGTGTCAACTCAGATTCTGCCTAGTAACCTACATTTCAAGTCATTTGATTCGGGTAATTTCTTAAACACTAATTAGCTTAATTGCTTTTAAATCATAAAAACGATTCTAAGTATGGAAACTCGTTAATATTGATATGTATAAATGTAGAATATGTGGTGTTTAATTTCAAATCCGAGCAAGAGTAACTTAATACAGCTTTAATAGATGATTGCATCCATTTAAAAAAAAACGTTTTTTTTCTTCTGAATTGCAACATTCTATATAATTGCTAAATGCTATATTCATCTTCAAACATATTGTGATAAGTTCAGCTAAAGCTTTATCTAAGAAGAGGATTCAACTTGGTAGAGTATGTAATCAAATATACTTGACTTTTTATATGGTAGAAATAGCTGAATTAAATAATTTCCCGTCAGATTGTTGATTATATCGAAACTGTCAATATATATATATATATATATATATATATATATATATATATATATATATATATATATATATATATATATATATATATATATATATATATATATATATATATATATATATATATATATATATATATATTATTCTTTAAATATCAATCAATAACAAAATTTGACATTGCAAGATCCGAGACAAATGAAAAGTTGCAACAAAAAAAAAATCAGTTTCTTATCATCCACTTCAACTTGCCGCTTATTATATATGCAACCAAGAATATGACCTTGCCCACCTACCATACAACTTGAATCGTACACAAAACCTGGTTTCTTGTAAGAATTTCCAGGATATCGTTGCAAACAAGTTCGTTAGACTGCATTTCAAATCTAAGAGTATTTATTAGGCTGAGTCATTAGAACAGCAGAACAATAAAAGGGAATGGAAACGTATGCATCCCATTATAAAATACTTATTCTTATCCATGGATAATAAATTAGCTGAAGAAGGGTATCCTATACAGACTGCTCCGGAGACCGGTGGCCTAGTGGTTAGAGCATCCGCCTCTGATGCGGGAGGTCGCTGGTAGTGATAGGGATGGTCAGCCTGGTGTCAGAATAATGTGACTGGGTGCGACACCATGCTACATGTCTGCAGCATGATGCGCCAGGGCTAGACATCACTATAAACCGCCACACTGCAGACGTCGTAGTGATATGACTGAAAAATTCTTAATGCTACATTAAAAGTCCAAATCTCTCTCTCTCTCTCTCTCTCTCTCTCTCTCTCTCTCTCACACACACACACACACATACACACATACACACACACATATACACACACAAACACACAAACACACACACACATCATATACATATATTAGTTTGATATTTTTTTAAACGTGGGAATGTACATTGTTTTAAGCATATGGTAAGTATATAACTAAGAATGACATTCAAGTAACATGAATGTCCTTCGGGTGTATTGACTGTTTAACGCTGATGTCTAAATCAAACATCCGATAAATTTCAAAAAAGCAAGGAATTTTTAATTAATTATTTAAAACAGAATTCAAACAATGTTTCCAGCTGTGGACGCTCTTTCTTGCCACACATTATAAGATATCAATATTAATTCAAATTTAAACCCCAACCCCCAACCTACAAAGAAACAAACAAACCTTAAATGGGGAACTTTGAAAGATTGTTTCATATGTTTTTAAATAATAAAGACTGACCGAATATTACTAGTATTTGTTGCATGTGATCTTGTATTAGTAGTACAACCACTATGGCGTATTTAAGAACAGCTTGTGTTAGTTATGATTGAGTTTGTCCAGACAAAGAATACATTGATCAGTGTTTCAAGTCTTAACGTTTAAGTGATTAGTAAAGCTTGTACTTTTGTAAGAGGTCTTTCTTCTGGAAAATATACGCGCTGACAGAGAAAGGGAAATAAGACATCATATTTCTAAAACATTTTGGAATTTGTTTCTTGATACTAACAAGAAGAAGAAAAAAAACGACGGAGAACTAAACCAGATATAACTTGGCTAATCCCCTGACGGTGATGCAAGAGATTAAGACAAAAACCAGATTTTACTTTCAAGATCTCATATAAGCACGTTTAGTTTTACTCGGTACATTTTTTTTGAAAAGCACTTGAGAAACATGAATGTATACCATAAGTATTGTAAATAGAGAATATACGTATTTATCTGTGGTTACCTCTGTCTGCGTGTTTCTTTCACCTAGCCCATAACAATGCCCAGTTACGGAAACAAACTATTGTTCATCACACCTGCGGTTATTTAGCCCCTCCCATCTGCTGATAAGCGAGTTGCAACAATTTTGTATTGAAGAGGATATCTTGAAATTTGTTCACGAGTTCCACATATTAATCAGAAGTGTTGTAGTGCCTATTGTTTAGAACTCTTGATGATATGTATTGGATTGAACCAACTACTCGGAACTTTGACAACCAACGGAAAAACAAAACTAATTCGTTAAGGAAGAAAGTATTATTCGCATGAAAGAACGAAACAAAATACTTTTCTCGTGATGTACTTTATGGAAAAATGCGTTTATATAACAAGTTAATGATTCTATATTTATGTTCCTGAGTTCTTTAATATTATACACATTTAAAATATTTGAACGTCTCTAACTTTTCATTTTTCTTGTGGGACGACATGTTTGCGCTTATAGTTTGCTTTCTAAAATATTGTCTGTAAATACTTTGTCTCGACATTTCTAAAACGTGACTTTAAATAAACTGCATAGCCGGGAGGTTCTGACGTGCCATTAAATCACATACATGCATGCATGCATGCTAGCGTGTGTATCTATATTGTGTAATATCGCCAGAACTTTGTCCTGTAGAAATGGTACTTTGGCAATTAAAGTGCATGACACTTGCTGAACAAGGGTCGGGTGCATCATAGACAACTCCTACCAGTGGACGCTGAAACATAATGTCAATAGGATGGACTGATGCATTTGAAGCAATATATCTTAAATAAATGATATCGATGATAACACAGAAACTGTTTCTCATTACTGCTTGACCCTTAGGCACCTGAGTAGAAACAAATAATTACTGATCCACACAAACACTGAAGCTAAAACTGTGTGATTATGTATTTGAAAGTTAATACCACGATAAAGGCAGACATTTGTCAAAGGATAAAATAAGTTCTTTTGTTCAACAAATGAAGGTAAACGCAGTTTGTTTACTTGGGAGTAGGTATTTTTCTTCTGCTTTTGGAGAAAAAATGTTAGAGCCATCCGGCCCTTGTGTTTCCTTTCTCTAAACACTGTCCCTATCCCGGTCCTAGACATTAAACGGATGGTCCTAAATTAATCGTCTGCCTTTGATTCTGTTATTTTTATATCGATATTGTTTTTTCTAAACTTCGAAACCTTCTATAATAAATGTAACCACCAAATGTTACAGCATGCCACACAATAGATACAAATATGTACAGAAAAATCACATAATAAATACACATAAGAAATTAATTCTGGTTTATTTAGGTCATGTAGCTTGTTGGCATGCATTAAGAAAGTATTAAACAATGCACGTAAATAAGTATCTCATTCCATGTGCCTTAAATATGTATCTCAATTCGATATTTACATTTTAAAAGTCTAAGCTAATATTTTATATAGGATATGGTTTCATTCTAAAATCCCCTTGCGTTGCTCTCGAGGTGACATGGTAAGATTTACTTCGAGTCGTGAACAATAATAAGTAAGCGAATTACTGCATTCAAATAATAAAAGTAGAAATGAAACATGACCGGATATCCTTGTACAATATCCATCATAGACATCATGTAGGAAAAATCTTGTATAAAAACACCCAGATGTGTCCTTCTGTGTCACTCCTGCCAAACAAGAGGTAGCGGAGGTTTTCTAAGTTTTAAAAATATCTTTTGTTTTGCATTTTTATGTTGAAAATTTATTTTTAATTCGGTCAAATTATTATTTTTTGCATGCGTTTCTTAACTTTTCTCTTGAAACGGTCATTGATAACTCCCGTCTTAGGACGAGCAATAGTTAGTCAGTTTATTTATATCTTTATCGGATCGTGGACGGGATTCAGTTTAACCTTCACGGAGGAAGTGCATTAAGTAGGCGCACGGTATTTCCGTTTATAAAAACAACATCAGTAAACTCCATTGTTGTAGCTGATATACTTTACATATAAAGCATGTATAATATACCTATCTTTAATGGGATTTGGTTTCATGAAACATCCAGGGAATTAAATCAATTATCAATATATTTGATGCACGACGTTACACGCATATGTTTACAGTGTTCCTCTTCAAGTTCCTTTTAACTCTTGTATGAGTGTGTTCTAGAGTGTTATCTAACAATGTATCTTTAAAAACGCAAACAAATGTTCTAAAGAGAAGATCTCAAGCTTGCAGTCAATTTACGCTTTCTATATTATAAGAGTCTTGTATTATATGCAACAGGCTACAGTAGAAATATCTTATGAAAAAAAAAATTGGTTGCTATGTAGACCTTATTCTCGTCAATGGACTTTCTTTGAGGTCCTATAAAGAAACTATATATTTAGAGTTTAGGAATAAACATGCCACATAATTTTAAAGTGCCTATAACGGAGGACTTTAAACATTAAAGCCTCCTTAATTGATTTGCCGCTCGTTAAATTGGCAATGACCTCCCAAGGTGTTACTGCCCAGTGTGGACGGATAAATGGAACGTTAAAAAATAGCTGGGTGAGCGATTACTGGAAATAAACAACAACGAGCACTCTTTTCCAATAAGTAAAAATAAATTTAATCAATTAGTACATAACCAAAATTTCACTTTCAACTAATACAACCGATGTATTAAAATGAATGTAATCAATAAATGCATAACCTAAATCTTATTTTCTATTAATACGTGACCAAAAATTTCACTTTAAATACAACGGATTCACACTGATAGAATTTAGTCTCAGTGCACAATTTACACCACATTACGAGTAGTGAATTCTGAACTCAATTCAACGCTTGACAGCGTCACCAGGCGTCTGTCTCCTCTCGTCTTGTTTCCAAGTCTAATGAGTGAGCTTTGATCCTCTTTCCGACCCCTGTTGAGTTCGACCTCTGCTTCTCCTTGACTCCTCATGTGTTCCTTTATTTATCTCATCCTTTTCCTTTCTTCCACTCGGATTTTATAGCTGTTTCCTTAAACACAAGAGTATTATGGGAACTAATTATGTTTCAACAATTATTTGCGTAGAGATATTTGACTCTGTTCGTTCCCATTCAGATTGGCAACTCACACTGCACAAGTTATATCATAATGTTATCTTAACAAATAACTGTCTTTGCAAATTCTGTGTTTCGGTAAGGTACCATTACATTAGTACAAAAGACCTTAGCTCGAAGTTTATTGCACTCAGGAATTAGCACGTGCTGTCTCAGGCAAATGCACCCATATATACCAACATATATTACTACACATCTTATTTATATTTAGCTAGTCAATATTGTTCAATGAAATAAATGCCCAGTTACTTATGGAATAGTATCCACTAAATCTAGCTACATTAACCAATAACCAGCAAGATCACCTAATCATTGCGAAATCATTAATACATATACTTTTGTCACTAGCACACGATAACAATACTACAAAAAAATCAATTCATATGTCATAAAAATATGGCACATCTGTGTATTAAGGTTTATTCATAAATCCCATGAAATACTGCATATTTAAGCATCATTTAGGTTATATCATAAATTCCTATGGTATTCTACATATTAAATATTGGATTACATGGAATCTCTCAATTCTCGCAATGAACTAATGAACTACTGATTGATAAAAAAAAATGAATTAAATTACATAATACCAATACATCGATAAAGTCCAACAAAATGAGTACACGATACATGCGTGAATTATAAGCATATGAGCATATTTGCAAAAATCCAAACGAATGAATTAGAATATTAAATGAAAACGAACATTGCGCACCTTAATGGCTTTTCTTTCCACACAACCGTGTCCTAGCCTATAGCCTATCTTCCTTTGTTAAGATAGCTGTCTGGCCCTTTTATACCAGGAAAATCACTATTATTCAGT